TTTTGCAATTGGGGTGGGTGGGTTTTGGTTTGATGACTCGCAAGACAAATGTTCCTATGGCCATGCTTCGCAAGAATAATGTTTTCCGTTTTTTGTTCCTGCCTCATGTTTGCTGATTTTTAAATGTTTTTCTACGATGTTTAAAAAGTTAAAGTTTTTGATTGAATTTTTAAAAATCATCTGCACAATATGTATGGCTTTAAAGAGCATTTAATAAACTCTTTGTAAACCAAATTTGACTTTGTTCTGACTTTTTTTGCCCATAGGAACACATTAATTAGATTTTAATGCATTCCTATGAGAAAACACGTTTCGCAAGACAAATTTTTTGCAAGACAACATTAACCGTGGAAAGAATTAAATTCGTCTTGTGAGGCACCACTGTACTGTTGTCTATCTTGAACACTGTTTTTACTGGAAAAACCAAATAAATAGCTAATGGTGGAAGTACAAACAATATATAATAACCTTTTTTTGGCCCAGTGCCGCCCTCAGTTGTGTTAAGGCTACACTTCCTCATCCTCTCCACTGGTCATGCTAGCTGGAGATGATGGTGCAGATTAATTCAGGGCATGGATACACTACTGAAACAAACTGGAAGCTGGACTGGTGGTTTTGAAGTAGGTTTGAACTCACATGGTACTTTCGTACTTTTGGGGTTGGTATGTGCTACCTCTTGGGACAACTTTTAATCTGGGTGTGCGATGTGTATTAAATTGGCACAACTGGGCTCTAGCTTCCTATGTTTTGCTTTCCCAAGGCTATGCATTCCTGGAGTGAAATGTCTGCACTAAAAATAGAATAAAACCTCATGGTCCTTTGGGGAAACTCTCTGGTTGCCGGCACATCAACCTAGAACTACTTTTGAGGTTTTTATCCTGCACCCACCTGCCTTTCACAGTTCCCATGTTGAAGTAATATGGGCATCAGTGACAACGGCCATGTTCTTCTGCTATGGCGTGATTTTTAATATTGGTTTTATTTTTTTTTCCAAATTGGCATAGTGCTAGATCAGTGTTACAGATGGGGGTGGGGGGAAATAACAGATTGGACTGCAAAAATACCCTGCAGCCCAAAACCCAGGATTCTAACATTCAATATGTGATAAACCCCACAGACACAATTTTCTCCAACACAGGCGAGCACACATGCAAAAGTGATTCAAAATAAATCATGTTCATAATTGCATTAAAATAAACAAGCCCCTAGTTTTTCAGAACAAAAAAAATACACTTCCTGGCCAAAAAATGTGCACTCAGCTGTATGCCATATAAATGGATATTTTTTTAAAAAATTCAAGTGTGCTAAACAATGCAAACTCAGAAGTATTTCAATGTGTGTGCACCCTTGAACACATCTAGAGGGCTCCAAATTGGGGACAATTCTGTGTAACAAGTACTTGTTTAACTGAGAAAAATATAACTGAAAGATTTCTTTGTTCCATTGCTACTTTCTTCCTATTTTTCTTTACCATGATGGTGTGTTTTTTTATATGCATACAAAGAAAAATGGAGACAGGCAAGGTATGAATTTAGAGCTGCAGATTGGAAAAAAGAATATAATCCTATATATACACTTACTCTGGAGTAAGCCCAATGGATTTCAATTAGGCTTACTTCTGAGTAAGCATATGTAGGATGGGTTGCAAATCACCTAAGCAACTGATTTCTCTGCATGATTTTATTTTTCTGATCAGTTACATTCACCAAATAAAATGTAGGTAGCTATGTGATTGGTCTTCAAGAAGACACTGTCAAAAGAAATGGATCTGAAAAAAATTCTGTCCCCAAAGCAGGAAGGAGAAGCAGCAACTTTAGTGTTAAAATTCTACTCCCTCTACCACCACCTTCCAAATTTCCTCTGCAGCATTTTGATTTCTGCAATGCATCTCTGATGTAATCAGTGAACTTGTGAAAAGACTTGCTACCATTTTAAAGTGCAGACAATCTCAAAGCCCTTCCTTGGATGAAAACAATAATGCACTATTAGCTACCAGGCTCAGCAGAGCTAAGCCCTAAAACATCTAAACAGGCTTGAGATCTCCTGAAGCTCCTTAATACTTCTTCATTATTTTCTGTTCTTGTAAAACACAAGTTACCTACATAATGAATGGCCTTTCTGAAAGAAACCATTACTACCAGAAAATTAACATGCCTGTGGTTCTGTCACTGATTTCCTGTCACATAAGCAAAATCAACGGACAGGTAACAGTTAGGATGGCTAAAAGCAGCCTACAGGTTTCAGAAGCAATAGTCCTGGGTATCCGTGGTTGAGGAACAACTACAGTACAGAAGAGGGCTATTGCCTTAAAGCCCTATTTGTTCAATTTCCTGGAAACCCAACAGTGGCCACTGTGGGATACAAACAGCGTGACTTACTGGACCTTTGGTTTGATCCAGTGGGACTGCTCCTAGGTAGCCCTGCCAATCTATGTACTGAATACCCAGAAAAGTTCAGCTGAGGCCAGAAGCTCAGCAAATATCTCCCCCTTAGCTGAAGGGCACCTTAAACTTCCCCACAGTTTTCCCTTGTCCCGCATTCAAATTCTGATTTGGCCGATTTAAATCCCACAGGGTAACAAGGTGACCTTAAAACTTTTGTCCTATATTATAAAGCAAGAAGAGAGCCATTACAAAATGAGGGTATTGCATACATAAGTTTTAAGGGGATTTTTTTTTTAAAAAAATAGCCTTCATTATTGTAGTTTAGCTGTTGCCTGTAGCTGAGTGATTTTATACCTGGAGAGAAATCAATTCAATATTGGTCAAAGTTCTGGATTTGTAGAAAGTCTATTACAGTTTCCATTAAAAAGAGAAGTAACCTTGCGGGGTAAGAACTTTATTTCTTTGTAGCAGATTGTTCTGCAAATACTGTATAGTAAATTCATTCAAATATTAATTCCAGAAAAAGAGTTGTTTTTGTTGACAAAGGTGGGGGTTATGCAACATATATTTGTGCTATAAACTGATTTCAAATACACTAACTTTCCACAGAAGGCTAAAGTTCCAAGACAACCATTAAACATACTTTAAAAACCCTTAGAAAGTTGCATGATTTGAAATATAATTATAAGAGCAAAAGAAAACAGTGCTAAGAACAGAGAGATTGAAATGCATCAGAGGCAAAGACAAAGAGTAAAGCTAATTTTAACAGTACTGTAAAGCTCAACTAGAATAAGAAAAAAAAATCATCCCTTCTCTTAATCAAGCAAAGGACAAATAGAAAGGATAGTAAAAACTAACTTCAATGCATCACTTTCATCAAACTTAGGGATAGTGTTCAACTAAAGCAAGAATGAGAAAGCCACAGAATTACAACTACTGTAGTGGTGGTAATTCCAGGATGTGTATGTGTTATATTGCACATAAGAGTATTGTGGCACCTTAAAACCTTACACATTTCTTTTAACACAAGCTTTCATAGACTGCGGCTCTTATCAGACACAATGTACTTCATGGATCTGTTCAAAGGGGGCTTCAGTCCACAAAGCTTATGACAGACAAAATTGTCTTTAAGGTGCCACAAAAGTCTCCTTGTTTTTGGTGCTTTTAGTCACAAAACTCGTTGTTGCTTAGTTGGCTAGTTAAGTTAATCAAGGAGAAATACAGTACGACTCTAAAAGCAGGCAAACAGCACAGAAGTTTGCATTGTTACTGACACTTTGGTAAATAAACAAAGCGATTTTGCCTGTGCTGAGAAATGCAAAAATAATTTTTAACATTCATGATGGCATGCAGTGCAGTTCAATATTATCATTTGCTTTTATTCAGAGCTCCCATTGCCCATTGGGCAACTGTCTTCAAGGGCTAATATCTTATTCCATACACTGAAGGCGCTGAATTCCTGCTAAGGCATATATCTTAGAGCTGGTGAAGATGGGGGGGGGGGGGGGAAGCAAAAGAATCAACCTTTGCAAAATTAAAGCTACAATCCCATGCATACTGACTTGCAAGCAGGTCCCGGTTAATGTGACAATGGTGGTGGGTGGGATTTCTTTTGGATAAGCATGCACAGGATCAAGCTGCACACCTAGAGAATGCAGGGACAGGGCATGTGCAAATACACCTGCACCAAAGAGAAGCTCCTTCCTACTTAGTGGATAAGCCCAACGACGATTAGACATT